TAAGGCTCTCACAGATACTAGTTTACAGGTGTGAGCTAAAAAAAGCATGCAAAAAATTGGTCACGTGCTGCTTTGCATGAGTCAGTGGCCCTTCTTACAAATACCTTATTTTACTTGTGTGTTGGAGGACTGCTAACTGTTGTTACCGTTTGGTAGGTAGAACAGTGGTCACCCGGCAGTCAGTGACAGAGCTAGGAAATTCAGTCCTATAGTGCCTACATTGTCATTGTCATAATTCCTACAATTGTTACTCCTTTTTAGATAATGTAAAAAGCTGAAAATGGAGCCTAAAATTAAACACATTTTTAGTTTTGTACTTTTCCCCTCCTCTTAATTCCTGTGAATCTGCATTTGTTCCTGGTCAACCTGGTCAGTTTTAGGGTGTTTTGAGGACTAGCTACAGTATTTCATTCTTATAGGTCCTAATTGAAGACTGTATTCCCGTACTGAAGAGGTATGCCAAAGAAGGAAGGATGTTTGATTATGTAATTAATGATCTGACGGCTGTTCCAATCTCCACATCTCCAGAAGAAGGTTAATCTTCTAATTTATTTTCCTGGACTTCTGAGGATTTTCCACATTTCTGCCCCTCCGCTGCATAATAGTTGACAGTTTGCAACAAAAACACTTGGATTCTTACCTTTTTAATAGCAAATCTGAGGCAAAGAATGATAGTAACACATCTGTTCTTGAATTTTTCTTGATTGTTAGGAAAAATTAGCAAGTCCCTAGGACTTTTTAAAGTGGTGCGCTTATTCCAGATTAATATGAACTCATGTAATTCTTGAGGAAGTATTTGGGGAGTTCACACTCCAGTAAATTTTTCCCCACTCTATAATTTCTTGGAAAAGTCTGGAAAATTACTGTGAAGAAAAACAGAGATACTTCCACCATCATTGCCATTGTGTATGGGTTGTGTGGGTTTTTTACTGTTTTGTTTTTTTTTCTTGTGGGTTTGTTGTTTCTATCTTTTTTAAAGGTATAGGATAGCTGCTTTTCAAACAGTAGATATGTTGCAAGTCTTGAATATGTAATAGTGAACAAGCCAGTAATGTGCTCTTCTGTTTTTAAATCATACTCTATATGCAGATTCCACATGGGAATTTTTGCGGTTGATTCTTGACCTCTCAATGAAAGTACTGAAACAAGATGGAAAATACTTCACACAGGTATGATGTCTGGATGTAAAAAGGTATTGCTGTATATGTATTGCAATCTGCATTTTTCAGGTTAAAAAAAAAAGGAAGGGGACAAAACCAAACCAACAAACTAAAAATCTGCTAGCAAGCTGGTTTTCTCCTTTTAATGACTCATTAGGCATTTTTGCATGAAGTTTGGGCTTTGCTAACTCACTTGTCTTTTTTTCATTATTTCAGCTGAATTTGTAGCACTTGTGTCTTTGAATTTAACAGCATAATTTCAAGACTCAGCTAGGCACACTACAGAATATTTTAGCTGTAAGCAATTCTTGGGAAAGCAGAACAGATGTGCTTTATAAACAGATACATGGGTTTTAAGCTAATGTCTCCAGCTGTAGAGTGTAAGATGTGAAAATTTGTCATCCATAAAGGTGTAAGAATTTGACATAGGTGCAATAGGACGAGAAAATCAGTCATTTGGGAGTAAATACTCTCTCTTTGCTTGCTGTCCACTCCTAATGCAAGTCATTGGTTTGGCTTGTGCAAAATGGATTTTGAACATTTGAATATATTTGTTACAATGCTTGGAATTTTGTGAAGTATTTTAAATAGTCATAAATAAGGATTTTGTCCTTGTGTGTGAAGTTTTTAATGCTACTCCATTTAAAAATAAATAATTTAAGATTTGTGTACTTGCTACAATATAGCCACCTTGTGGATAATATAATTATCATACAAGTATTATATATAAGTATCATCTGAAGATACTTTCTGTATGTAATCCTGAATTCGGAACGCCACAAAGCTGCATGCAATTGTACAAAAACGTGACAAGACCAGCAGATGGTTGAGTGAAGTATGAAGTATAAGTCTCTGAAGTTGTATTTCTTTTGTCATGCCCATACCTTAACTAGTCTTCTGATGTGTGGAGCATCTAAGTACAGCATTTTGAAATAGTCTTGTAAGCCCTGAAATAACCTCGCTAAAACTATGCATTTGAACTCTATTCCTATCAGCGTAGACTTTGAGGTGTGTAAAGGAACTGGACAGGTTTATGAAGAAATGCAAAACTCGTAGAATGATGTTTTTGGCAACTTTAATGTGCTGCTTTATTTTAAAATGCTGTAGTATGGGCAAGATAAATTATCTTGTGGTTGAAATGTAAGATATGACTGATATGGTTGTATCACACTGTAAATCTTAATGGAAAAATTTATGACAGACTTTGATATTGAAAGGACACTACATCTTTTGGACAGAGCAAGCATTTGTGTTGCAGTTGTTATACTTATGCAGTGAGACTAGCTGACTTTATTAGAACGCATGTAAATGTATGTCTGTGGACAGGTATCTGTCAGACTTTGCAGAAGGACTCTGGGAAGAAGCTTGTGCTGAAAGCTGGAGTGATGGCTGGGCTGCAGCCAGGGTACAGAGAGCTGGCTTTGTGTCGGCTGAAACCGGTAGAGGTTGAGACTGGTGCAGCCCTGCTGCCTGTCCTGTCCTGATGGGAGGCGGTGACTCAGCTCTCCAGCATCTCTGCTTGCACACGAGGAAAGGACAGCAGCACTGAACCGGCCCTGGCGGGTTTAAGCCATTGTGAAACTGTGCAATATCAGTTCCACAGTCCCAAAGCAACAAGGAGGGACATGGCAGGATGGGCAGGAAGCAATATTAAAATTGAAGTGGCTTGAATTTGGACTTGTGGCTAACTGGTAGCCACTGAAAAGGCTGGAGTATAGAAGCAGTATACTCTGCCAACTTAGTCTTCCTGAGGGTGTTGCAAAAAGGAAAATTAATATTGGGGCAAACAGCTATCAGAGCTTTTGATATATCTACTGATACACTACCTGGCCCATTTGATGGTCCTTGTAGCCTCTTCCCAGTTGGGCCTGATTTAAAAACAAACAGAAAAACCCTTAGAAAACTCAGTCTGATCATAGGAAGAACAGACTTTTAGGGGTGCTTTAAATAAAATCAGCTGTCTGATTTCTTTAAATTAGGCTTTGAATTAAACTAATTGAAGCTGGATATCCAAAGGATTGCATTAGACTATGGACAAAAGTTCAAACACTACCAACTTTGGCAGCTGAGCTTAGTCACACACTGGGAACTCATAAATGGTTTTGAATGCTCTCATGTGTTAGCTGTTAAATGCCAGGGTTTTTTAGCTCTATGTATTAATGTTGGAAATTTAAGTTACTTTTGTTCCAACTGTCTACTTCCAGGATGCTTATCTTAGGTAGCAGGCTGTACTTTGCTGAAGGAATCGCATGCCTTTTAAGGCAGTTGTGTTTTTAAAATCCAGGACTTTGTATGCCCCCCTTCCCCCCCGGCTTTCTTGAAGTGCATTTTGGTTCTCTGAAACATAAAATATATTAAATATCATCAAGAAAAGCGACTGGGGGAATGTCCACCTATTTGTTAAAGCCTGACCTTTCCTATGACGAGGAAATCTTTCATAGGAAAGGTGCTGCAAAAGGGTCATTGTCCTGTTGGCTACTGGCCAGTAGGTATAGTTGCTTCTTCTGCCTTGGCATTATGTTGTATTAATGTTCAAAACTTCCGTCCTCTGTAGTTTGTAGCCTGTCCTCTGATAGTTCTGCTTGCAGGGGTTACCTTGTGCATCTTGTTGAATGTCATTTATTTCAGTGCTCAAGAAATGCTTTACCCAAAAGTGGAATTCTATTCACAGAATGCCAGCCTTTCACATACTGTATTGCTGCCCAACCCTTTAAATGCCACTGCTGGGTAAACTAAATGGAAATGCTCATCACCTCTTCATTGAGCTCTGCACAAGTTTTGGAAAATGTTCTCTTCAGCACATGAATTGTCATAACTCTAGATATAATCTATCTGAGATTGTCAAAAGAATTTGTTTTCTTGGCATGCTACTCGAACACACCTGGTTGTTCCCTCTAATGCAGAATATCCTTTCACCACTAGGTGGAGACTGATAACTAATATTGCCTAAGAGTTTATTAACATTTACAGAGATGCTACTTGGAAAGGTTTCTCAGACTATTTATTCATATTCTTAGGGGATGCAAGAACATATGTGGCCAATTTCAGGATGAAGGAGGGACTTTTTGATTGTTTCAGCTCTGGAAAGATAGAAAGGGCAGTTTATGGATCTCATTCTCTGCTGCTGTAAGTCTGTGCTTAAGTATATTAGGGGGGGGAAAAACCTCCATACTTGCTCTATGCATCCACAAATAGTAATCACAATGAGAACAAAAACTTACTTGTACAAGTAGCAGCCTTGCTTTTCATGTCCTTGCTTTTTTAGCTGCATCATCCATATTGAGAGTCTTGCAGCCTACATAGGACCTGGACAGAGAGAGGTGAGCTTTAGGGCCCTTAGCCTGCAGAACTTGCAGCCCTATCTGTAAGTTTAAGACTTGAGGCTTGTTTGTGAAAACATACTGTTGAACATAATCCTACTACTCTGATGCTTCAGGGTCATATGGCTTGCTATATTTCTGTTCTTCCTTCTCCTTCTGAAGCTGGTGCTTTGAAGTGTTTAGTGATGTAATATGGGTCCGGGTCTGTGAGGTGCTCAGTGTTGCCTTCTCCAAAGGGAGCCAGTTACAGGTGGAAGTTCCCAACCATCACAGGGGGAGAAGTGGGAGTCAGTGAGGATATAAGAACTTGGCGTATCCTGAGGTCCAGTTTCATCTCTAATGGACTTTCCCAGTGACTTGTTTCTGAACAAGTTAAGTTTTTCATGCTATTAGACCTTTTAAAAGACAGTATGATTTTTAGATTGCCCAAGTGATTTTTTCAACTTCAGTGGAGTATGTGTACTTGTAGATACTACTGTGATGTGTTTGTGGTTTTTTCCTGAACCATCACCATCCTGCGCCTTCCAAGTAGCACGTGAAGACTGTCCCAACAGCTGTGAAACTGCTCTGTAAGATGCAGAGACTGATTGTAAGGTTGTCTCTGTTTGTCAGTGGATTATGCGTAGCTAGGAAAATACCTTTTTCTGTGCTGAGTTTTTGGTCTGCTGATCTAATCCTTTGAGGTTGAGCAGGCTATCATTTTCAACCTGTTTATGAAGTGGAACCTTTAAAAATACCTCTGAACAGGAATTTGCTCCTTCCTAGTCTGGGTCATCCAACTCAGGCAGGATAGAAACAGTCTCAGACCACTCACAGGTTTGGGTTCCAGTAAACAACACTAACCACTGGTGCAAGGGATCAGATGTCTCACACACATACACACACCTGTGGCCCTTCACCAAACTGTTGCTTCCTGGCTGCTCTCTAATACAATGTGGCCTTGCCCTCTAAGTGTCAGGGCACTGTGGTGATGCTTCATAGTTACGCTCCTTTTTTTTGGCTGCTGTGTAGGTTTTCTAATTAGCACTTCCAAAGAGGGAGCAGGGTTCTCCTTGACTGCAATGTGAAAGGAGGCTGGAAGAATGGATGCATGTCCGTGTGTGAGCCTGTGTGATTTCTTGGCAGTTTGGGAGTCTTTAAGGGACAGACATTTCATTTCCTTGTGTTTACCGAGAGTTCAGTTTTAAAATAATTGATCGTTTGGCCAGTAGAGATAGCTTCAGTCAGGTTTGCCTCCATTATCTCCTTAAAAGCCATCCCTGTCACCCAAAACTCAAACCTAGCTTTGATGCTAGGGTGTTTCATGCTCTGTATCTTATTGCTTCTTAGTCACTCTGAAGTGAGGAAGAAAAAAAAAAAAACAATCTTGGCCATGGCCAACTCCAGCACTGTCATTACAAAATAAAAATAGAAAACCATTTTAAATTAAAACTGAAAATTAAACTTCTCTAGTATAGACACAGACAAGGATGTCCAGTAGCAGTGACATGTAGGGTAAGACATGGAAGAATGACGTGTAAGAAATGAGCAAGTATGGAAAGGGACCTTTCCATCTGCTTTCAAGTCACTAGCTTACTAGGTTGGAGGAAGCATAGGCCTAAATTCAGCCTATAAGCAGTTGATGGATACATCCCCTTTATAGGTGGGTAAAGTTAACTGGAACTTACAGGGTTCATTGAAACAAACTGTTTTTCTTTTTTTACTACTTATCTTAAGGAATGTTTTTTTATTGTCTGCCTGGAATTGTATTTATTTAAATTGGTTGTGCATTGTGCTGTAGAAACCTGAAAACTAAATCCATGGTACTACAGAATGTAGGCCTTACAAAAGCCCAGAAGAACTGGTGTTGGAAGACAGGCATGAGCTGTCAAAGTGTGTGCAACTACTGAGCAGACTCAGAACGCAAAGACTGTGAAACAGTTCAGGAATCATTAGCCTTAAACAAGGTCTTATAAATTCAGATTTGTTAATCTCAAAGTTTAAAACTACCTCAAATACTTTGATGTCAGAGATGCATGGTAAGGAGAAAAAAAAAGTTCAGCATTCCCCCATTTCTTATCTGTCAAATCGTTTGACGTGGAACAAAGATTAAGTAAGGGGCGGGGGGTGGGCAGAGGAGTTTGTTAGGGTTTTTGTATATGTTGAAAATTGACTGAACAGTGTGGGAGAAAAAAGCAAGTCTGATTTTGCTTATTTCCCTTTGAAAAAGTGTAATTGGTGAGTCATCAGCTTTAAACCTTATTAAACACAGTTCAATATTAGTTATTGTTTAAGTTCATGGTGGCTGTTCAGAACAAAAAATGTACTGCTCTACCACATAACTATTTTCATTAGGCAGGGGGGAGTTAAAATGAACACAGGTTATTAGACTGATCACTGTATTGCATTCTGGGCTTGGTTCCCTGTGTCATGTTTTAGCAAAACGAGAACATCTAAGTGTGATTGACATTGTTATGAACACTGTAGTCTTAGTTAATAAAGCTGGTCACTTCTTACGGAAAGGTGTTAATAACAGTGATTTTTTGCAGTAACTTTTCTCTTTATTGAAATAAGTTCATCTAAGTTGTGTAGATTTGATTTTTGAATTCTTAGCTTTTTGAGTAAAGCCAAATAATTACAAAAAAATTAACTGTGCAGAGCTGTAAAATCCTGTGGTGTGTCTCCAGAAGGAGAGGTTAATAGAACAGCCAGGTAGGATGTCTGAACCTTTAGGTAAGATCTTGATTTGGAGATTGGGGAGTTGTGGGTTTGAAAAGTAAAAATTGTTTATTGGCATGTTTCATTGTTCCTGTAACTTGTTTTCCACACTGTCTGCAGTGATTTGTCTGTTACTGGAGAAGGATACTTCTGTCTCATTGTGTATCCTATTAAACCTCCTCTATAATAGTGGTATACTCCATAAATTACCTAGCAGTGTATTCTATTTATGACTCAAATTACACACACAGGTTGTTTTTTAGTTTTCTTTTGCATTCAGTCTGATGTTGAAACAAAATTACATGTTTGGTAAAGGGTGGCTGAACCAAATAACTGCTACAGTCCCCTGGATAATAACAGGTTACTAAGTAAGTACTACAGTAGTCTGTTCATTGTTCTGCTTTCTGCAGTTGTGCTCCCTT